GGTCAAAAGCATTTGCTCTGAGGTGCTGCCCTGCCTGTGCCAGCACTGGCTTTCCCCTCAGAAATGCCCTCCTCCCAGCTGCTCTGCCTCACATGACCTTCTCTAGAGCTCCTCAGCTTCCACTGCCAGCCCAGCATGTAGAAAAGGGGCAATTGTGTAGCTGATGACCTCCAATGAGGGCCTCCTCCCCTGAAAAGCTTGGACTGTCAGGGGTTGTTCTACAGTGGTTGTTCACACTAGTGTTGTGTCTGACTGTGGGGTCTGCTTGCCTGACTCAGACCAACTTCCTGCTTTCTCCTGCCACTGGAGCACCTGATACTGAGCTACCATCTACAACAGCTGAGGGCAGCCAGATAGGCTGCAAACAAGGGCTGGCTCATGGCTATTTATGCAGTGGCCCTCCTCGGCCCAGCCCAGCCCAGTGGAAGAGACAGTATGGGCGTGGGGCTGGTGGTGGCTTGCAGCGTTCACATTCTGCTCAGCTTAGGGATGACATGTTCCCTCACTGGCTCCAGCCCCCAGAGCCATCCAGGCCATGTTCCAGTTTCCAATTCCCTTGATATGCAGTGGGGACCCTGGACCTTTGTGCTCTATTAATAGCTTGCTGTGCTGATGTGTTAGTGCCTCTGAATCTCTCCTGTAACATCACCAAGGATTTGAGCTGCAATAGAAAGCTTTGGGGGGGTGGGGGGGAGGAGGGCCTTCCTTGGAATCAATCCCATCTCAGTGGCACCACTCAATCCTGTTTAACCAAAACAAAGCACAAAAAGCCCCACAGTCCAGATCCCCCAACCCATGCACTAGCAGGAAAAGTTCATCCTCTCTGAGCCTTGCTAAATTCTTCCCAGAAAACTCCACACAGCAGAGACCCAGCACTGGCATCTCCACTGCTCTGGTAACTCAAGAGTTCCTGAAAGCTGCCTGGAAGGTAGCAGTGCAGGGCCTCAAGTGCTTTCTAAGGAGCTTTGGAGACAGGTATCTTTTCCTTTAAGGGAAATTTGCACCTGAGGTCCATCTTTGATTTCTGACACTTGGAAAATGAAGTTGCCAAACCTGGACAGATCAAAGTTTCTGCTCCCTGTTGAATTTCCTCTGGCTTCTTGCTAGCTCAGCATACAACAGGACTGATTCCTTCCCTACTGCCTCCAGGGCAGGGCTGTCCCATAGAATTTCAAGCGGTACAGGCAGAAGGGATACTGCGAGGTCTGAATCCCTCCTTATGGGAGGCAGGGAGCCAGTGGACATTCTGTGTGTCCAGCCCCAACCCACATGTGAACAGTGAGAGAGGATCAGCCAGCCATCATTTCCTAGCGTGTCCTCCCTGCTTTGTCTCTGAGATGTGCCTTATGGCTCACAGGCATGTGCAGATGTTGGTGTGGTCACATTAGAGAGGCTATGTTGAAAGTAGTGGTTGTCAACTTTAGTTCTACCCCAGAGCTGGCTATGCTGTCTGTCTGTCCATCCGTCCAACCTTATCTCCAATCTCTAGATGATCTGGACTCCTTGTGCAGTAGAGGCTACAGGGGAGCTATAGGAGATTCTACTTTGAGTGTGGACTCTGAAATCATTTGGCTTTGGGGAGGGAGTCCCCTGCCCACGGAAAGAGACATGAAACACAAAAGAAGTGTGAGGTCCTGACTGCAGCTCCCATGGTACATTTCAGTCCAGTGGTGGCCAGAGGAAACTTGGAGAGTTGGAGAAACTCCCACTGCAATATGCTGGGTCAGCACATTGCTGGGACAGTGTGCTGTGAAGGGAAGGATAGGGGCAGGAAAGAAGTGACTGTGTTCCTTCCCTCAATGTCCTGCACGCCAAGAACAGGAGCTGTGAAGAAAGCAAGGTGTGTGGTAGGAAAAAAAACTCTTATGGAACAGCTGAGGGGAGTGCCACGTCCCACATTACTGCAGTTCTCGCCATGCTGCATGTGTGCGTTCTGTGTATGTGTGCATGTGTGCACATATGTGGGTGCTGCAGGCATATCCCTGCTCCTGAGTCCTGAGGGAAGTTTGTCAGTGGGAGCAGTGTACTCTGGCACTCTCTTCCAGTACCAGGCTGAGATCCTACGTGAAAATCCCCTTATGTGCAAAGAGAAGTCTGCAGTTCTTTTTGCAGGTGGCTGCACATAAGGTGCTTTGCAGGTGGCTGCATGTTAGTGATGCTCAGCATGGGGAGGCTTTGGATAGCCCTGTGAGCCATGACTCAATAATATGGAGGAGATACAGGCCAGGACCTGTTTAGACAGACCTAAGTTGCTGATTGTGTCAGGGAGTCTAGGTTTCTGGAGGTGTTTGTGGACTCAGCCCTCAGTGCTGTTCCTGTGCTGCAAGAAGTGAAAGGGAGTAAGTCAAGGACCTTCCAGATATTGCTGGTGGTGACCGGGCGGGCACAGTTCATGGGAAGTATGTGCAAGTCTTGCCTTTCCCCTTCTGCAAAGCTTCTTGGCTGCACTCATGAAATAAATGACATCCCTCCCACTCATAAATGGGGCTCCCTTTTTGGGATCCCCCACACAGCCTCTGCTCCCCACCTCTTCCCTTGCTTGTGAAGGAGAGTCTCTGGCTACAAACCAACCAGCAAGAGGATGCATGAGCAGGGCCTGTCCTCAGCATTTGAGGCCAACTTGAGCTGCCATCAGAGCTGGCCTGGATGCATCTTCTCTCTGCTGCTGCCCTAAGCTGGTCCCTAATACTGGGCCCTTTGCTGAGTGCAAAGGGGGAACAAGTACTAGATGGTGGGAGTGTGACTAGCTGGGCTTTCCATCCATGCTGCCTTCTCTACCCCCGCACCAGAGAGTACCCCAGCCCCACATGCCTTGCTCTGCTGGGAGCTAGTGCCTTTGGAGCAGGAAGCCTCCATTAAGTTGTTGCTGAGATTAGGGCTGTTTTCAGTAGGTTCCTCTGAGTTGCAGTTTGTGTGTGTAAATATTTGGATGCTTCTCAGGTATGATTATTGAGCAACCTGTATCTCATGCATATTCAGAGGCCTCCAGAGATTGCCTCCCCTTCTGCATATGAGAGCAGGGCTGGGGCCATCGATGCAGGAGGAAGGTGAGTGCAATTGATGCTGGTGATGGTGGCAGTGGACAGTACTGCGGAGAGCCTGTGCAGCTGTGCCTTGGCCCCAATTGCACCAAGCTGGGAGCACTGGTGATGACTCTGTGTTGCTGTACCAGGCCTGCTGCAGAGGTCTTCTGCAGCCTTAATAATGCTGGCAGGCATGTGGGGCTGCTGCGCGCTCCTAGTCACAGCTGATTGTCCATCTCTGGGCTCCCCGGTAGCAGTGACAGCACCTGCTCAAGCAGCTCCTGCTCTAAGCCAGGCAGTGGGAGGAGGAAGGGTGGCTAAGCACTGGGTCCGGGCAGCTTCATGGTCCCTGGCTGGACTCAGGGGATGTTCAGAACAGTATAAAGCAGATTCAGGGGCTCCAGAGCATCTTGCTTCCGGCTTCTCTTCATGTCCTACATCCTTTCTCTTCTGGGATCCTCCAGGTCTCATATGTTCAGCTCACCTGTCACAGCTGGTCCCCTCCCATTCAGGCCCCACAGACCTGCCTTATTTCCTCTACTCTCCAATTTCCTCACCCTGCCTCTGCCATTTTCCTGCTTTTTCCAAGCTACCAGGGTCTCTGAAGCAGTCCAGCACCATCCCAAGCTTGGTCTCTGCCATCTCATTGCAGAGATGAAGCCACACACCCTTCTCTGCTCTGGCATAAGGCACAGAGTCTTATTTACCAGAGTGCCTAAGAAAGATGGCAGCTCCTGAAAGCTCACTGCTTTCCTCTGAGGAAACTCACAGCCTGTGATACAGCCCTACCTGCTGCATACCTCTGTGCTGCATACCCGGGCATCTGCTGAGCTTCTATGCTGTGCTGTTTGGAGGTGGAGGTGGATGGAACAGCACTAAGCTGGTCACTCTTCTTTGGAGACTGACTACAATGCAAGGTCAAGCCAGGTCTCTGGCCGTATCCCATGCTGAAGGGTGCGATGAGAAGGGAGGCAGACTGCATGATGCCTGCATCTCTTGATCCCAGCTTGCAACTCCCAGCTGGGAGACCTTCCTTATCCTGAGGGCTGCAAGAGGGAACTGTGGGATTCAGATAACTGGGTTTCAGTCCAGTGTGGCATTAGGGGTGACTTGCTGGCTGCTCCTGGGCTGAGGGAGATTTCTTGCTATGTGACTACAGGCATTACTTGCAGCCTGTTCCCTGAGGAGAACATGGGAGACCCTGCATCCCAAACCAACTCAGTCAGGCTATAAGTGAGAGGCTTTCTGAGATGGCCTTAGAGCGTGCCTAACTTTTCCAGAAGTGGCACACTGCAGGGTCTTCGCCATCTGCTGTCTGAGGATAAATTCAGGGCATGCTTTCCATACTCCCTCCATGGCTGTAAACATGCTTTGCTTTAATATGTAAAAGATATGAGTGTCAACTAACTCTGGGAGATGGGACATAAAGCAAAACAGCACATCTCCAGAGAAATACCATGAAGCTGTTAGCACTGGCAGTACTGCGTAGCAGAGGACTTTCTTACCTCTATGAGTCAGTGTTCTGCGACTGCATTTGCGGGGCTACACAGCTATGTTCTGGGACTGCGAGTACTTACAAAAACAAAGCGTTACTGACCTCTGCCTGCTGGCATGAATGTGGTGGTGCCCTTTCTGTCTCTGGGGAATGAGCACTCCAGCCCCATGCTGCCCTTAATATTATCTTCCATTTTACAGATGATGAACTTAGGCACAGAGAGCCTGTGTCAGGAATGCAACATGAATTCCTGTTTCCCAAGTATGGGTTCATGTTTCTGGACTTTGCTCCCTCTCTCTACCAGTTACTCTGCTGGCATTAAGCAAGAAAAGCCAAGGCAGCATTTCTGTTCCCAGGGTTGCTGATAGCCTGTCAAAGGAATATGTTAATCTAGCCCCTGGCCACAAGAGCAGGTGATGGATGGAAAACATTTTCTACTCTTCTCCACTGATGCTTTTCCTTGTTTCTGTTCCCTGCAACAGGCATCATGTCCATTATGTTATTCCGTATGATGGGGATCAGTCAGTGGTGGACTCCTCGGAGAATTACTTTGTGACTGACAATGTAACCAAGCAAGAGATTGATCTGATGCTGGGACTTTTGCTGGGCTTTTGTATAAGCTGGTTTCTGGTATGGATGGATGGGGTTCTCCATTATGCAGTGCGAGCCTGGAGAACTAGCCGACGGTATGGTAAGTGCAGCCCCACAGGCCCCCTTCCCTCTCCTCAATCCCTTGGCCTATCTTTTGAGGCTCACAGAGAGGAAGGAGGTCACCAGTCTTACAGAGTTTGGTTCCTGTTTGTTTATTCTGTGTGGATTTTGTACAGGCCTGATCAGCCAAATCCCAGCCCTCTCTATACAAACAGGAATGTTTACCTGGAAATATCCAGCTGAGGATCTTAGCCTCGAGGGCTCTGCTTTGGAAAGGAAAGTATGTGTTGGTGCAAAGAAGTGTTTGACAGAAAGTGGCACATTCACACAAAGACAGACTGGCAGGTGGTAGTTGCATGCCCGCACTTGTGAACAGAATATTTTCAGGCCAAAGCTTGCTTGAAATTTGCGTTTTTCTGTGCATATAATTTGCAGCCAGGCACACGCTTATGCAGTGGAGCTTCGTGTTATTTGTGTAAACTAGTGACAATGTGATGACACTGACAGCCACCTTCATGTTGTGTCAGGGGCATACGAACAGTGGTTTCCCCATCCTCATTGCTGTTCCAGATGCATCTTTTTTTTTTTTTTCTCAGCAGTGACATCTGTCCAACACCTCAGGGAAAAGTGTTAGCCATACCAGTTAGTACACTGCAGCTAGTCTTTGGACCAGTTAGCCTAGCATTCTGAACTAATATCCCGAGAATGAACTGCACAAGTTCCTTCAGAGACCCTCTCCGCCCCTCTTTGCTCTCTTAGCACAGATATCCCATGGGCTTTCATGGTTGGCGGGGGGGAAGAAAAACTACTAAAAATTGTGAAAGACTTGAAATCCTGTCCCATAATCAGTGTCCTTGTAAATTACACTCTCCCTAAACTCCAGCTGATGATGTCGGCTAAATTACAACTCAGATTTAAAAAGAGGAAAAAGACATTGAGCAAGAACGAGATTTATCTGTGAACCTATTAAAAAAAAAAATCTAATTAGGGAAGCGGACTAACTCTTTCTAAAAACTCAGATCAAAATGACATTAATTTCTCATTAGTCTTCCCAAATCCCCAGCAGCCTGCTTGAGCAGTTTCTGAGTTAAGACTCTCTGGAGGCTGTGTTGCTTTCATTTCCCAAGCAGAAGGCTAATTGTCAGTGTTTCTAGTGAGATCTAAGGTACTGAGCCAGTCTCGAGGACATGACACCTGCTTTTGATCAGACCACCTGTAGCTGTGATCTCATCGGTGCTCACAAAGTCAGCAGAGCTGGCAAGAGCTCTCCTTGGGAGAGATGAGAGTGCAGCGATATCATTCTTCAGAGCTGATGACTTTCGTTATGGAGCTGAGAGCTAGAGAGGTTAGAGCCAACTATCCTACCTTCTTGTACACAGGTGCTGCACAGGATTTTTTTTTTTTTTTTTGTAGTTAAGGGTAGTTCTAGTGATATCCATTTAGTATTTAAGCTGAAGTATCTTTTTCTTTCATTCCATCTTTTCTTCCCATGGCACATTCCCATGGTATGTTCTAAAGCTTTAAGACGAAGCTGACCAGTTGTGCAATATACTGCACAGATTCATCTTTTCAGAAAATGAATGCAGTGTTGCTTTGCACCCAGTTTTCTGCCCTTAGCTACGCCATTGGAAGTGCAACTTCCACGTTGCAGAAGACCTGACACTTCCCCTCTTTGGCCTGAAACACTGACTCTTGTGCAAACTTAGTAGCATTATACCTTTACACCAGTCACACAAGACCTCTCTGATTATAAACCATATTAATTGAGCTGCGGCTGTGCATTTGCACTGTTCTTGGCTCCCGGTCAAATGTATTGTGGAAGAAACCCTGGAAGCCCTCCTCCTGTGACGTTGGTGAGGTTTCTGGAGTATACTGTGCAGAGGGACATTATATCACTCTCCAGTAGAGTTTCTTATGTGCCTGGAATTGTTCTGTCTAAAGAGAAAGTGCACTTGGGTGCTATGCTGAAATTGTCATCACATTTCACTAAGGACAGGCTGACCCATCACTTGGGAATTTGGAAAAAAGTAATTGATTTTTTTTTTTTAAACGTAGTTACTATGCATTCAACTCAGCTATGCAAATCTATCCATTTTAAAGGGAACAGGCAGAAAGGATGTCTCTCTGTTGAATGAGTATTATTTAAGCTACAATTGCCTTCTAAAGAAAAATATGTTGCTTGTGGCTATAAGAGGTAGGGGGTATCTATGAGGGGTAGAGGTAATAGCAAATACAACACTAGCACAGAGTATAGAACTCCCCCTGAAATGCACAAATACGACTTAGCAGTGACTCAGTGTGACATTGTGTCCCGATCAGCTTCAATTATAGTCTGTTAGAATATACATATATAGATATATATATAGCTATAGCTCCTTCCTGATGGATGTTTTTCTGCAGCACTGCAATCTTTTATTTTCTATAGCAAGTTGGCTACATCAGATTACGTGTGTCTAATAGCCGCTATAATGCTGATCAGAGCAGTCATATACCACCTCAAGCCAGTTGCTGTAGTTCAACTTTGTGCCATCTATTGTTCTCCGTGAGTTTCTAATTCTCCTCTGTGGGGTTGGACGCTGTGAATTTCTGGGTGGAACAACCCAAAGCTCTTGTGAGAGTCAATGGCAGCTGAAACATTGTTACAGAGAAAGGTTCATAGGCTGAAAGCTGAAATACTGGGTAAAACAAGTGATGCTCCTCAGCCTGCACTGGCTGTGGGGCAACAAGTGGTTGTACTGATGTTGGGTGACCTTGTCCAGTGTTTTAGAAAACAAAAAGAAGAAGGGAGCTAGGACTGCTATTTAGGAAAGA